TGTCATCCACGAGCGACAGTCGGAGGAACAGCTGCTGGTTAATGCCTGGGCAGCTGCCGGTCGCAAGGATGAGCCCGAAGACATGCGCGCTAACGGCCACGGAGCCAATGGCAGCGCTGAACCCGAATACCAAGACGGAGACGGAGACAGTGACGAGGAATTGATGGATCGAATCTCGAGTTCGCCAAGCATCGATGATGGTGGGTCCCGCCCCAAAGCAAGCAAGAACCCCTTCAAAGTCTGGCCGTCAAGGCTCAGTCGCAAGTTATCGCGCGAGAACTTCAACAGTTCCGCATCCCCCCGGACTTCTTTGCCGTCGAAGGCTTTGGATTAGGAATCCAAACGTCCTCCCGACAGGGCAAAGTTGACCAAATCCCCACCAGTGCGTCATCGGGGTAAGTCTGCGGATCGGGCTAGAAGCGTGGGTCGCCCCTCGTGGGAGGATCTCTTTGGGAGGGGAAGCTGTCCAGAACAAGTTTCCCGCCCGGCCACTCCTCATCCGGATGAGGCTGCCAGTCCAGATGAATTTCCCATAGAGGAGCCGCCGTCTCCGTCAGCTCCGACTACAAGCGGCCTCGGCATCTACATGCCCACGTTTGGCCAATCCCCCAGCCTCATCAGCCTCGAAAGCGTCGACATTTCCGAATGCTTCCTGCCTGAAAACGACCCGCTCCTGACCGAAAATCCGCAGGAAACACAAGATGATGCATCTGACGCTTTTATTTATGATTTTTCGTCGTCTTCTGAGGGCGGAAGCTTACATGATACAGATGACATCGACCTCGAGTTCGTATACGCCCTGCACACGTTTGTCGCGACCGTCGAGGGCCAGGCCAACGCCACAAAGGGCGACACCATGATTCTGCTCGACGACAGCAACAGTTATTGGTGGCTCGTCCGGCTGGTCAAGGACAGCAGCATCGGTAGGAAATCTGAATTAAAATGACAATTCAAACTGACAGCTTAGGCTACCTCCCAGCAGAACACATCGAAACACCGACAGAGCGGCTGGCCCGGTTGAACAAGCACAGAAACATTGATGTAAGTCTGTGTTAAACTATTGTAATTCCTCTGACAAATGCCACAGCTTGCTGCAACCATGCTCAGCGACAATTCAGAGAAAACTCGCAATCCCTTGAAAAAGGCAATGCGCAGACGCAATGCTAAAACTGTGCAGTTTGCTCCTCCTACCTATGTAGAGGCCTCTGATCGGGAGTATTCGTCTGATGAGGATGACGAAGCTGAGCCGATGAGTGAACCCGCCGTTGCAGCGCAGACGGTTCAGCGAAACGGCCATGTCGAGCCCTCGGCTCCGGAGAACACTCCACGCAACTCGGAAGATGAGCCTAAGACGACCATCTCTGCGAAGCGTGCTTCCTTTGATCGAGAACAGGCTGCCACTCACACTCCTTCACTTCACGAAACACAGCGACTTATTGACAAGACAGAAGCGGCGCCACTTAATCTCGCAAAGGCACATCGCGCAATTCCGACTCTTTTCTGCGGGATGATGCAGCGGAGCCTCGCAGGATCACTCTGACACCCGGTCTGCTGCGTGAGGGATCTGCTTCTCCGGCCGGAATGCCCGAGGGCGTCCACACTGGCAGTGCAGAGAACCTCAACACAGTCATATCAGGCCCGGAACCGGCTCCAATTCGAGTCAATCCAAAGGAAACCAAGAAAAAAGATAAACCCAAGTCTGGCATGCTCAGCGGTTTGTTCAAGAGAAAGGACAAGAAGATGAAGGATGAAGGGATCGATAAGATTGTGACAGATGTCGGTCGTGATTCACGCGATTCGCCACGATCAAGTCCGGTCATTGGTCAAATTTCCTCTCCTGTTGAGAAGCCATCCCCGACCGATATCCGCGTGGTGCAGCCAGCAGCTGGAAAGAGCAAAGTTCCACTAGCAGCTCCAGCCGCAGCGCCGGTATCCGAACAGCCCAAAGAAGGCATCCTCTCCACCATCAAAACAACCCTATCACCCGATCAGGAGAGACCCAAAAAAGCCAAGCGGGCCAAACGTAGGGTAGAGCTTGACGATTTCGACTCGCCGACCGAGGAGGAAGGGCCGAATCCGTTTAGGGAGCAAGAGGGCAGAGAGCAGGAGGAAGAAGGGCAGGAGGAAGAACCCATTCAACAAGCAGAACACCAAACACATCCAACAGAAGAAGTGGCAAGAAACGACCCCATCGAAACTCCCCCAACGCCACCACAGGAATGGTCTGATGCCAACCTTCGCGCCTGGTACGATGACGGCAGCGAAGTCCGGGACCTTTTAACCCTCGTCTACGACGACACGGACGTCAAACCCGTCCCCCACGACCATCCCCTAATCGCAGACTTGTATTCCGAAGAACGCAAGACCGCGGCGAGAATAATGGACGATCTGGACGGTTTGCTTCAAGGCTTTCTCCAACGAAGAGGAATCACGCCTTGATTGCTATTTTTTCCATATTACGTAGTAACGCAGTTCTAAGTACACTTTTTTTCCTTCTACGGGTGCGTGCATGTCGCTGAGACTGGTCATCTTACAAATTCCAGCGTCTGTTCATTCAGTATACCATTCCATCTGTCAAATCCCCAGCAACCTTTGGACGGCATTTCCTCCATGTGCCGATCGATAGCTTTTGCCGTCTGGCTCTCGCCACACTAACCTACCGCCTCACAAATGCAGTGTGAATGGAATAGGGGACATCTGAACCCTTACCTGTCTCACTCTTAACAAATTGATGTGATCCCTTTCCTTTTCCCCTCCTTCCTTTACCTTTCCCTTCTCGGACATGGAATCCATACAAAACGAAGAGGAGAAGACCATCGTCTTCGAAAACCTAACACACTTCGAAACGACAGATCTCCAGCTTGCTGATCCCTCGCCTTTTCCCACCACGGAGAATAATATGGACCTCCACCAGCAGGAAGTGCTGCTCGACTCGCTATACACCCTCCCCCGCGAATCGCCCTACCCTTTCGCCACAACGCGGAGGAGGAGATCTGTCTCCGAGCCTCCCGTGGGGTCCTCGGGGGGGATGTCTCCTCTCCAGCAACATCCACACGCGGGGTTCTCGCCATCAGAGGGGGTCGGTGCGCAGGAAAATACGGTAACGTTTACGAGGAGTGGACACTTCCTCGGTCCACCAGCTGCGACGCCGCGGACGAAGCCGAAACATCTACAGAGGAAGGTCCATCCGTATCAGAGGGCTTCGCCGAAAGAAAAATTTCATCCCCCGCGGCATCCTCACTCCCCCGCGACGAATTCTTTGGGAATTGAGCGGAATGGATTTGTGGGGGGCGAGTTCATGAGGGATACTGTGGGTGGGGAGTTTTTTCCCTCGCCCGCAAGCTCGTCGTTTAGTGCGTTCGGGGGGGCGCCGAGGAGTGTCCCACCCGCCTCCTTGCCCGCTGCGCTCCCGGGACCCCCTGGACCCCCTTCGGTGGGGATGGTGGTGATTGGGGTTGAGGAGTTGAGGGTCTTGGTTAAAGAGGCGGTGAGGGAGGGGGTTAGGGAAGGGTTGAAGGGGGATTAGACAGGGGGTGTGAGGGAGTGTGTGCATTTGGAGAGGAGGGGAGGAGGCAAGATATGGGTGTGTACATTTGGATTGGATGGGGCTTAATGTGGATAGATGGACTGGGTTAGTTCGTTTACTTTTGGGGCTTCGGGTGTTTTGATTTAGATTGTTGTTCGGATAAACTAGAAAGGAGTAAGGTTTTCTGTTCACATATTCGTTCCTTTCAAGGTTCTGAGATACGAACTGGGATGGATAAACACATCTACTTATGCCTACCGCGTAGGGTCCGTTCTGTGTTTTGAGTAGGACAGAAGTCACCGAAGACCGTTCATTGAATTCCAGGTTTGTGTTTTCGCATAAGATGCGCTACTGGTTAGCAGTGCTTGGCAGTCCACAGCCCCACTTCTTGGCAGCCAATCCCACACCTACTGATCAATCGGAATACCCCTCCTTGATCGAACATTGTCAATACATCTCCGATATTGAGTTATCTTCAAAACCAACATGAAGACTCTTACATAAACCGGTCGAATCAATCAGCGGGACCCATATTGAAAAGATGTAAATCAACAAGGACCGAGCAGAAGTCGACTCCCCGATTCGGCCCAAAAGGCGAAAAACCAACCGGTGCAAATTAACAAGCACTCAACAGCAATTGTCCCATAGATCAAAATCAAAATTGAAACATGGAAATAAATGCATCGCCAACTTGCCAAAGTCACACCACTGACAGATTCTGTCAAACGGAAGTTATCCAGACCGCAGAGAGCAGCAGATCGGACATCCCACCCCGTTAATTAGACCCAACACTCGAGGCAGCGAAACCTTCGACACCCCAGTGAGCAGGGCCCTACGATAAATCTCCAATGTTATCAACCCGCCCTCCCTCCTGCAGCACATCACAACACACAAGCTCAACTTCATGGTTTTGACCTAAATCTTTACGCTTTTCCTCTAGCTTCCCCATTAGTAGAGCTGCTAACCCTCGCCCCATCAATAACCCACAAGAATCCCACCACAATAACCTAAGATCAATCCTGCTCATCAACATCATTAGTGCATGTAGAGCGAACGTGGCAACCACGCCCTACTTCACTTCTTCCTCACACTGCAATTTGCCCAGCCATTGACACCTCCACCTTTAACGAATCTGGCAACCTCCAAATTCTTTGTATTTCAACTCAAGTGTCCAACAACCCAACCATTATCACACAATTTCCCACACACCACGCTCGGCAATGAAATTTTTCGCCCTCGAAAACCAAGCAAAGAAGAAACCCCATTCAATCAAGCAAAAGGATGGAGGATTTGAGCACTCCCTGGAGTTGAACCCTGCACTTTCAAAAAGCGATAGCTAAGACTCGGTGATCACTTCCACATATTTGAATTGTAACCCGAGGTCCATATCCCCCCATCCTCCAACATCTGTCAATTTCCCATCTCCTGTCATTTTAAAACGAAAACGAAACTCCTGTGCGTAGAAAAAAAAAACCGACAACGGCAGGATTCGAACCTACGCCCCCGAAGGGAATTGATTACTTAATTTCTGTTTCAGAAATTCGAGTCAATCGCATTAACCACTTTGCTACGTTGCCTTATTCATGCAGGTATGATTGGGCAATATGTATATATCTATGGGAGGGAAGATGACCCTGGTTCGGCGAACGACCGCACCTCGTCTCTTTCGCGTTGCACGATAGCTGTAAGTACGCGTTCAACACTCGGAACTAGGGAACCAGAACCAAGTTGCAAAGCTACATACCATCAGCAAAAGGATAAACACATATCCAGGGTCGCTTGCGAAGCTACGTGTCTTCCGCGCAGCAGCCAAACTTATTTTCGATCCTCCAAGTTCGCCCGCGAAGCAACATATCCCCGCCATCTGCGTTAACGGGCAGCGGAGCCTTGCACGCACAGCTACACAACCAGCGCAAGAACCAACCCATATCTAGGGTCGCCGGAGAAGGTACAAACATCCTACACCAAGCGCCGTCCTCAACCCTCAGCGCTCGCGGGGCTACACAACCTCATCTTCTTCAAAGCCCTCAGCCACAGGGAGATAACAATGTCCCTCCAACAGCACTCCCAACCCCAAACCTCGGGCGATCCCTCCCCCAAGCAGGAAACACCCCCCATCTCAGAACTCTACCAAACCCGCATCGCGCAATTCACCCTCCTCGCTGCGCCAGCGTTGATCCTCGCCCCACCAAGAAAACTAGATAAATATACCTTCGGCCTGGGGCTGGTGAGTGCGTACGCCGCTACATGGCTTTACAGATATCGCTACCGGGGGAGGGGTACCCCGGGATAGGTCCATGGGAGCCCAGATCTGAGGTGTAGGGATAGAGCACGCATATAAACTATACTATTGCTTCGCAGTTCCATACCAAACTGCAGGGATGTATCACCCCAAACCAAGGCGATCCATGATTAGTAAGTCTCAGTCCACCCCCAACGATGAACCCTCCCTCCTCTCCCATTTTACCACCGCCGGTCTACACGGCTGACTAAACAAACTCGAATAATCCGTCCCCACGACACCCCCCTCACTTTTGAACCTCATCTCCCTGATGAGCACCGCAAGCACAGTCTGCAGCTGAACATACGCAAACTGCTCACCAATACACCTATGCCTGCCCGCGCCGAAGGGGAGGTACGGCGACGCCGTACCCTTCGATACAACGCCGTACCCATAATCAACTTTCTCATCCGTCGAATCAAGCTTATACGCTGGATGGAGATGTTCGTACTTTTGTAGCGGGACTTCGTCCCACCTATGCGGTTCCCAAAGGAGGGGTTCGGGGAAGTAAGTCTCCGAGCGGGCGGATACGCCGGGCGTGGCGAGGACTGTGTGCGTCGTTGGGATGACATATCCCGTTTCCGGGACGGGGAGGGGTTGTTTCACCTTTCGGAGGATGGAGTGGATCGGTGCATGAATGCGTAGCGTCTCTTTCACAACCTGCGCGTGGAGGGGGAGTTTTGACAAACTTTCGTAGGTGAGGTCGTTGAGTTTGCCCGAGGCGTTGGTGCCGAGAACGCGACGCTGCTCTTCTAGGAGTTCGTCCTGGATATCTGGCCGTGTGGCGAGACGGATGAAGATCCAGGATGAGGTCGATGAGGAGCTGTGTTGACCGGCCATTAGGAGGGCGATCATCATGTGTGCGACTTCGCGGTCAGGGACGGGGGTTCCGTCTTTATACGTGCTGTTCATTAGGTTCCAGATCATGTCTTCCTCGCGGGTTTGGTCGCCGCTTTCGCGGCGCGATTTGATGATGCTCATATAGGTGTCAGACATTTTCTTCTGCGCGGCGTCGCGTTTGCGGTTTTGGGGCAAGGGAAACCAGCTGAGCATGAAGTTGATGGGGGTGAATCCCATGTCGAGGTCGTGGTAGAGGCCGGCGAAACTGGAGTCGAATTTTTCGCGGATTTCTTTCCCCTGGAGGGAGCGGCTGGCGGTGTAGATTGTCAGTTCGGCGAAAGTGGGTGGGACGTCCATTGTCCCGGAAGAGCCGGCGAATTTTTGGGATTTGGGGGAGAAGAAGTTTAGAACTTCTTGCGTGATGAGCGTCACGTAGCTTTGCAAAGCAGAGGAAGTGAGTCCGAATTTGACAAATTTCTTCTGCTCCATCAGCTTGGCGTTGGGACAGTCGTATACCACATCTTTGCCAAACACAGGGGTTGTAAGGGGACTGTATATCTCCTCCGCGTTAACGTCCTTGAGCTTCGCATTCAAGATCAGATCGTTCCCCTTCGTGCCCAAACAAACAGTTGTCTTCTTTCCCAAGAGGATAAACGTAAACACATCCCCATATTTCTCCCTGCACGAGAAGAAAAACGCATAAGGATCGATCCCATAGGAGATAGTGCTCCCAATAAACGGGACAAGATGAAACACAACCGGAGGTTCAGAAGGGTTGCGAAAGAGCAGTTGGCGCAGGACATTGAGTAGGATGACGGCTGTGACGAGGATAAAGAAGGAAATCACCAGGCCAAATGGCGTTGACGCTGCCGCTGCCGGCCTCGTAGAGGCGGCTTCCTGGATGAGACCCATTGTCCCACGTCGCCGTACGTCAAAAATTCCGGTGCCTTGGCGTGACACTGACAGGTACACTGCACACGATTACGTAATATGACATGTGAAATAGCGGGGTGCGCGGACGGACGTCACCAAAGATGCGAATCCCCTACGCGCCCGAGTCTGCTACGGATTCCAAGTATGAAGCCGTGTACGAGCGTATCAGAGCTCGTCGGGCGCCGAGACCGCTGATCCCGCTTGACCGGGCAATGCTGCACAATCCTGAGATCGCAGATGGGTACAATGCCTTGCTGGGTGCTATTCGCACCCGCTCGTCCTTTCCCCAGGGCCTTGCAGAGCTGGCAATTTGCCGTATTGCCGTGCTGAACCGCGCTACGTATGAATGGACTTCTCATTCCCCTCTTGCTTTGAAGGCGGGAATCTCGCGGGATAGCTTGGAGGCAGTACTGTACGGGAATATCCACGGCGGTCCACTATCTGAGGAGGAGAAGTTGGTGTTAAAGTATGCAGAGCAGAGCACGAAACAAATCTCTGTTGATGAGGACGTAGTGGAGGAGTTGAAGAAGAGGTTTTCGGACCAGCAGGTCATGGAATTGGCCATTACTGTTGCGTCATACAACATGGTTAGTCGGTTCTTGGTAGCTCTGGATGTGGGCGAGTGCAATGACAAGAAGATGACGATGCCTGAATGAATTGTTGATAGCTTTTCGAATTACCCTGATTAGCTACCCATCGTTGCTCATCAGCTAAGAAAGGCCAAGGACGTGGACCTTGTACTGGCGCCTGAGATAGTTAGCATCATTGATTGACCAAAGTGTAGCCACAAACTCACTTCAAACCCTCGGTTATCCTGGCTCTCATGGCCACAAACTCCCCCTCACAGATCTCACGGACGTGCATCCGCTTGTTCCCGTCTACCGTCTTCAGCCTGATCCGCAGTCGACCCGTTACCGGTCGATGGTCGCTGGCTCTGACCTCCCAGCGCCTATACTCCTCCATCATCACCTTGCCCTTGCCCCTGTAAAGGATGCGATCGCACCACGCCGGCGCCCTTTTCTTCTCCGACGTATCGTACTCGTCCGAATGAACATTGTACTTATACGTTGGCGCAAAGGTAATGGGGCTCTCCTGGAAAGCCCGCAGACGGAAGGCGGGATTTCTCTTCCTACTCAGCAGCAGCTGGTCACGTTCTAGGAGTCGCGCAAGGTTGTTGGCGTGAACATGCTTGACGACCGTGTCGCGGCTCATGGTGTCGATGCGGTAGTTGAGATCGCCGTTTAGAATGCAAATCTCGTGGTCCTGTATTATTGCGCCATCGCCACCCGAGGGAAACACATCTGCGTGTTTTGCGTGACGGTTCTGATTCAACGGGTAGGACGGCAAGGCTTCGGCTTCGAGGATGGCCGCAATGTCGTTATTGCGATGCACCGTCTGCGTCTGTCCCGCCGCGAGATGGCAATTGATGAAGCATAAACTGCTATCATCAAGGACCATGCGCACGATCAACGCACCCTTGTTGCCGTGATAGCCGCCCATGCCGCGTTTGACCTGAGCCGTATCAATGTGCTCGACCCTACTGTGCTCCGACGCCTTGATGAAGATGCAGGTAAAAAGCCCAACCAGGCTGGCCGTATGCAGCAGAGAATAGGAATGCTTGGCAGGAAGGTATTGGCATAGACACTTGGTCAAGTGATCTCGCCACGCTCGGTATTGATGACTCATGCGTTCCTGCGCAGTCCCTTCCATCTTTTTCTTGCTCTTAAACAGCGCCTTGGCCGTCGTCTTCTTATCTTCCAGGTCCACCAGCTCCTGAAAGGCAAAAACGAATATATCCGGCGCGCCCTGCGCACCTATATACTCTCGGAAGAAATTGTTATCTTGCTTATCCTGCTCCAGATCTCGAGGTTTTGATGCCCCGGCGTTCCACGTCATGACAGACGCCGAGATCTCGCGGAATGTGCAATACTCGGCATCATGGTAATGCATGCGAGCGTCTAGCCAGTCTTCCTCTAGCAATCCATCCCAGATGCGAAGCATGCTGTCCGCACCAAGAGACACAACCGGCAGTCGATCTATATTCCACAGAGTCGAATGATCAGCCACGATGCCGTGAAGTTGCTTCTTGTCATGAGCATCCCAATCCTTCAGAGCCTTCCAAGGCGTAGTGGATGTGTCAAAAATATAAATCATGCCAGTATAGAAGCCAGCCCAAAGGTATTCTCCGACGCCCATCAGTGTGCTTAGCTTGTAGACACTGGCAGCCACGACTCCCAGACAGGAATAGTCGTGGTAGTTATATATGCTGACCTTGCCATCGGAATGTCCAAAGTAGACGAGATCCGGCTGGTGGCTGAGCATGGCACCAGAAGTAACATCGCCGACTCCTGGCTGGGAGAGTCCACCGCGAAGGACCTGGAATTCTGTATCGGTGTGGGCAGCTGGATTGAACACTCTCAAGTCTTTGCCAGTAGCTATCCAGAGATACTTGCCAACGACCATGGAAAACGTATGTCCACGTGGTGTGCGGAAATTGACGCATTGTGCATCCAGCTCGGGCAC